TATGTATGTATGTATGTATGTATGTATGTATGTATGTATGTATGTATTTTTTTCCTAAAGGTTCTTTTGTTCTGCTTCAACGACGGCTCTTTGGCCCAGCGCCAGCGCCAGCGACTTGTTGGGCACTTAGAAGAAGTCAACCGTCATGGTGTCCTCCTGGGAGCTGCTTGCATCCTCATGCTCTTCTCCTTTGGAGGCGGAGCTGACCTCTTCACGTTCCTCAAGCTGTGTGGTGAAGTGCAGTCGTCTTGGTGTCGGCCTATGGGCAGCTTGTGGCAGGTGCTCAGTGGCCTGTGTTGGAGGCTGAGGGTCTTCATCAGCCGTACTGCTATCAGCACTCTTCTTCTTGAAGAATTCACTGAAAGGTGGAGCCCTTTCAGTCCTGCTCCTTTGCAAGCTTTTGTGAGAGCCTGCGTGGTGATGATGCGTCTCTCACCATCAAGATGCCATTGGATGCCGCATTGTGCGCAGCGGACTCGATCGCCCTTTTGCCAAAGGCTATGGGTGGAGTGTCCTGGATGCTCCTGGGTGTAGGCCTGATCTACACAGGGGCTGGTGATGAAATGGTGGAAGGCTGCTTCATTGACTCGTTTGTGGATGTTGATTCCACATTTGGTGCGCTTGAGATAGCCTGTGGTCTCAGCATAGTGATGCTCAGCGTGTGCTGGGGCTGTCTGTTGCTGCTGATGCAGGAGGTCCTTGATGACCTGGGCCCTGGTGTTTTTTTTGGGCAAGGGTTCAGCCTGGGTCGGTGGCGTATAGCAAGCATCTTCAATGAGGACCTGAGGGCAATTCTCTTGAAGCCTGCTTTCGAGGATGCTTGTGGTCAAGCCTTGATGCATTCTTGTGCCACACGCGGTGCATTGGTACCCGCTTCTGTGAGGCTCCCACCTGTGATGGTTTTCAGTCCAGGCTTTCGTACATTGCTTCACCAGGTCACGCTTGTGCTGTTTGGTTTGCTTACCCTGATGCCTTGGAGCCTTTTGGTGGATGTAGTGCAAAGGGTCATCGTAGATCTTGGCCAGCCTCTGGACTGCATGTTGGTAGATCAGCTTGCGATCATCATCTAAGGTGTCCTGCCAATCAGCCTGCTTCTTATCGTGGAGCACTCTGGCCCTTTCCCAAGCTGTCAAGGCCGAGTCACGCTGTCGTCTCCGCAATTGAGGCTCGTTGCGCGGTGCATCAGGTGTTCTGTTCCTGCTGATGTAGAGGACGGTGATTCTGTCAAAGTCCTGGTCTGTGGCATCCTCAAGCAGGTCTTGGAATGGGGCTCGGCTTCTGGGTTGGTGCCATGCTTCCCAAACCGCTGTCATTTTGCCCTTGGTTGGCCCATCCATTGTATAGGTCCTGGAAGGTGGAGTTTTCCGGCCAGCCATCCGGGAAATCCACCAGGATGGGCTGTTGGATGTGGTCCTTGAGGTAGCCCCCTTCTTGGATCTCGGCAAACCTGTAATGGAACGCTCGAGTCTGAGAGAGGACAAAATGGCTTGCATCCCCCTGCACATTGAGGTCGTGCTTGTTCCATAGTGGGCGCAAACCTGGCAGCTGAATCAAGTCCACCGAGTCTGCTAACTCCAGGGACTCTTGGACTGCTGGTTGGAGGTTGCCCCACGGCTGGGTGTTGGTTTCTTGCAAAAGTGCACATGTCCAGGTGAATGCGCGCCAGGGGGCATTAGCAAAGCACCGGGCGCTGGGGTTGCCAACCTTCATGGTGAGGTTTTGCAAGATGCACTCCGTTGTTGAAGCATGCGTACCTTGCATGCTCACTTTGGGGCCTCGCTGTTTGCGCTGCTCTTTGGAGTTGGCTCCTCCGTGGATCTTGATGACTTCCGGCCCTGGTGCACCGAGCAAGGGTCCATCAGCGCCCGAGTCAATGGCAGCAAAATCAAAATTGTTCACCTGTGGGGTGAAAGACTGAACCTCTAGGTCAAGAGTGTATTCCCCTTCACTCTTGTAAGAGGGTGCCCTGGAAAGATTGAGTTGTGGAACTGGAGTGTGCAAGTGTTGCTGTGTCTGGTCCCCTGCACAGTGTGTCACTTGCTGTCCCCTTGCCGATGCTGTGCTTGAGGCAGCGCGGCAAACCGAATTTGGAGTTGATGCCGTTTCAAATTCATCAAGGGGTATCGGCACCGCAAGCCCTTGAAAACCCGGCATGGCTGGTCTCCTGTTACCCACAATGTCCGGGTGACTCTGCAGGGGCAATGACTTCAGTTTTCCTGCGTTTGCTAGGGTCTTCAGCGTCCTGTCCTGGTCTTTTCAGGAGGCCTTGGAGCTGAGAGCGCTGATCTTCTGTCAGAGTGACTCCTAAGCTGTTGACAAAAGTCTCAACTGCCATAGGGATGGGAAGCTCGGCCTCTGCAGGCGTTGCTAGTCCTTCGGGCAGTGGAGTTTTGTTCACCGCCTGCATGTACTTTTCGGACAATGTCTTCAGTTTTTGCTGTCCATCAGTAAGTCGGGCCTGGTGCTCTTGCATGTCTTGGAGCATTGCAGCATATTGGCTTTTCGTCTGGTCCAGTTTGACCTGAAGCTGAGCCTTCTTCATGGAGATGGTTTTCAGTTCAGTAACCTGGGTTTTGAGCTGCTGTGCCAGGTCCTTCTCCGTGGCCGGCATGGGCTGGCTGAGCTTGTTGACTATGTCTTGCACAGGCTGTGGAAGCGCATTCAGGTGAGTCTGCAGGAGTTCCGTGAGGCCTGGTTCTGCAGGTGTAGGAGGTGCCAATCCCAAGGCTGCCAGCTTTGTCTGGATCTCGTTGGGGATGACATCCCATGTAGTGGCCAACAGTTCAGCAGCAGTTTGCTGGTTTTTGGTCTTCTTCAAAGGCTTGAGTTTGTGCAAGCCCGGCGGTGGCTCCAAGTGAGCATCGTTGCTCGAGTTTTTGGTCCAGGCGATGGTGCTGGAGCTTTTCTTTGCCTGCCCATGGCCTTGGCCTTTGCCTTTTCCAGTGGGTGCTGTGCTCTGCGACCACCAAGTGCCACATCGTCTGCACCTAGTGCCGGGATTCTTTTTGTCATCCCAGATCCAGTTGGTGCATTGCTGAGCCGTGCACACAGTGTAGGATCTGCACCAATTCATTGGCGCCATGGCTTGAGGATGCCTGCGTGCTCTGCGATCTGGCCTGGAAGGTTCGTTATCTTTTAGGGATCACGGGCAAAGCTGTAGTACAGGTTGTCCCGAAGGTCGTTGGCCAGAGATTGAACTCGACCTGGATGCCGAAGAGGAAGACAATGGCGAGACCTGCCGGTTGCCAAAGAGCTCCTCTTGAGCGTGGAAGGTGAAGTTCAAGATTGCTAGCAGAGGACGCTTGCCCAGGAGGAATGCTGTGGCGGTGAGCCAGAAGAGGGTGGCAGTGCACACGTGGTGCTAGGGGGTGCCGCACTAGGTGGTCTTCTATGAGGGAGTGCCACCTTGAACCGCTCACAGCTTGAGCCATGTATGTATGTATGTATGTATGTATGTCTGTATGTATGTATTTTTTTTCCTAGAGTTGCTTCTGCTTGAGGCCATTTTGGCCAGTTAGTGAGGGCCTTTGGCCGGTCAGGGCTCTGCGCTAGGCTGCTGGTTTGTTCAGTAGGTCTTGTGCATGGCGCGACCCTCAGAAGTACTCCACAGCATAGCCCGGCTGGTCATCAAGGGTGTCTGATTCTTCGTCTGCTGGTCGGCTGGGGTTCATGGCCAAAGCAGACATACTAATGGCAAGTTCAGCTTGCTCTTGCTCGTCTAGTGCCGTTGGGAAGCTGAGTCTTCTTGGTGTCGGTCGTGAGGCAGACCCTGCTTCCTGAGCAGTCGGCTTCTGAGAGTGATCAGAGCTGTGGCTACTGGACTGTTCTGGCTTCTTTTTGAAGAAGTCACTGATGGGCGGTGAGCCCTTGGCGCCAGCTCCCTTGCATGGTTTGTGGAGGGCTTGTGTGGCAATGAGACGGAGCTCACCATCCAAGTTCCACTGCGTGCCGCATTGGGTGCACTTCACCTTTTCTCCAGTGCGCCATAGTGCATGGCTGGGATGGCCTGAGTGGGGCTGAGTGTAGGCCTGGTTGACACATGGGCTCTGGATGAAGTTGTTGAAGGCGGCTTCATTGACTCGCTTGTGGATATTGATGCCACACACAAGGCATTTGAGGTAGCCCGTGGTTTCTGCCAGCTGGTGCTGACCCGGGGTCGGGTGTTCCGGTTGTTGATCCAGGAGGCTTTTGATGTGTTGAGCCCTGGTTGGCTTCCTGGTGAGGGGCGCTGGTGCTTCGGCTGAAATGGGTGCATCATCAATCAGCATTTGTGGGCAGTCCTCATTCAGCCTTGTCTCCAGTACCTCAGTCGTGAGGCTTTGGTGCATCCGGATGCCGCAGCTGCGACATTGAAAGCCACTTCTCTGGTGCGGCTCCCAGTGGTGATGGTTATCAGCCCACTGCTTTCGGCATCTGTTCACCAGCTCTTTTTTGTATTGTTTGGTGTGTTTGCCTTGATGCCGTGGTGCCTTCTGGTGCACGTAGTGCGTGGGGTCGGCATAGATCTTGCTCAGGCGGTTGACAGCATGCTCATAGATGAGCTGGTGGTCTTGGTCCAGGGTCGCTTGCCATTCTTCTTGTTTGGCATCATAGAAGGTTTTTGCCCGTTCCCACGCTGCTAGGGCTGCTTCTCGTTGTCTCCTTCGGAGCTGGGGCTCGTTGGCTGGGGCATCGGGTGTCCTTGTGTTCTTGCTGATGTAAAGTACCGTGACTCTGTGGTAGTCTTGGGGTGGTAGTTCAGCAAGGAGGTCCATGTATGGGCCTCGGTGCTTCGGGTGGTTCCAGGCTTCCCAGACACTGACCAGCTGCACAATGACCTTGACTGGATCGGTGGTTTGATTAGCCAGTGTCACAAGTCCGGCAATCAACGCCCTGGTTTTGGTTTGGCTGCCAATGGGTACACCTGTGAGTGTGCCCAGCCTTTTGAGTTGTCCAAGCGCCATGGTATGAGCACAAAGGCCAAAGACCCACATCTGACTTCTCAGGTCGTATGTGGAAGGGGTCGCATCAAGCGTGAACGCCCACCCAGTGTGCTGCTGAAGGGGTATGACTGGTAAGCCGGCCCAACAGCCGTGTCCTTGCACCGGGTGGATTGCCGTTCTGGCATCCTGTGGCTCCATCGGGATCCATCCATGCGCCCAGAGGGGCTCTTCTTCTTGGTTGGTGATGCGGTTCATCCAGTCCGCTGGCATGGGATCGTGGTTCTGGTTCTTGTGCCACTTGCAAAGCCACAGGATGTGTTTTGGTGTAGCTGGGACTCCACATATAGGGCACGTTTTGGTCTGGTGTGCATCCCTGGTGTGGATGGCTGCTTGTACCCAAGTATCCAGATTGTGTTGTTGTGGGGCCTTGAGCTTCTTCCTCACCTGTCGGTAGGTGTGCCAGTCCAAACCTGTGAGCAGGTGTCCATAGTTTGTTCTGCTTGCCAGTCTGTTTGTGCGTTGCCATTGCGCCTCCTTGGTGAGGGTGAGCTCTATTTGCCACCATGGAGCTTGGAGGCTGATCTGTTGCGCTAACAGAAGCTGGGTTTCTGGTCGGCTCCAGTGTAGCAGTTCTTGCGGTTGCCAGCCCCATTCGAGGAGGTACACAATGGTTGCAGCTAACGGCCCACGGACGCTGTACCAGGGATACTGCTTTTGCTGGAGTTGTTGGTAAGTCTGTCGCCAGGCTTGTTCCAGTGCTGGGAGTTGCTCGGGTGGCCATGCTTGGACCAAGTGGTGAATGGCCTTGATGTGATGGATCAGGACTTGATCACTGGGATCGATGTAGCGCTTGGCATGAATGTCATAAGTGACATCCAACAGGCCTCCCGTATGATGTCCCAGGTGTTTGCCCATGCCATGGCGGAGGGCTGCACGGTAGCGTGGGGCCAACCCTTGACTCTCAACTCCCCACAGTGCCACCGGCTGGATGCCTCCTCTGTGGAGTCTCAGGCGGACTTTGAGGGCTGGAATCTTCAGGCTACGCAACTTGACCTTGCGAGCTGTGGCCTTCTTGATGCGCTGCTTCATGACCGGGATGCGTCGTTTCCTGGCTGCTTGGTGGTCAATGCCCAGATCCCGCATGACCGGCGCTACTTGTGGTTCATCATCTTGCAGGATGGCTTTTAGCTCGCGCTCAGTGGCCTTGTCGGTGGCCACAAAGGCAGTCTTCTTGGGGTTGACCTGCAGGCCCAGTTCCTGAAGTCGCTTGTGTAGGTCCCTGTAGGCTTCGACTGCTGCAGTGGCTGCTTGGTGGGCTGTGGGTCTGGCTGTATCGAAACCTACATCATCTACCCAGCTGGATAGGTGGATGGTGGGGTGTTGCTGCTGCCATGGTTGAAGGGCTGGTGCTAGGACTGCCTTCGCAAGCAGTGGTGCCTGGGGGCAGCCAGCCGGCACTCCGTTGGTCACCGTGAAAAAGGGAGTCATCTCTTGCTCGGCAACAATGGCTTTGGGACCATGGTAGACCTGGAGCGCCATTTCCAGCATGAGCGGAGGGTAGCTGAGCCGGAGTGCCTCAATCTCGAGTCGTTGGAGATTGATGGTGTCATAGAACGTTGACATGTCCATCAGACAAGTCACTCCGTGCCGGCCGTTGGCTCTGTGGACCTCTTGCCGCAAAAGCCGCTCCAAAGCCACGTAGAGCACAGTGGCACCTGGTCTGGCGCGGTCATGGTTCATGGCTGGTGGTAGGTGTTGTTGCCAGTCATCCAACAGAGGTTTGCGGAGCCTGCACCATGCCCGGTACAACAGTGAGGTCAATGTGATGGGTCTTTCTTTGGCTTCATTTTTGGGAAGCATGACCACCATGTGCATCTGCTGTTGTGTGGGAAGTTGGACCCTTTCTTCCATCTCTTGATAGAGTGTCAAGAGGGCTTTGACCGCCAATGGTGGAGCTGTGCGCAGCAGTTGAGCCGTCACTGCATCAGGGCCGCATGCCTTGTCAGGAAGGTGGCGCAGAGTCCATGTCAACTGACTAAGAGTGAGTGGCTCGAGCTGTCGGGCTTGTTCTCTCGCCAGGCTGTGGAGATGGTCTCTGGCTGGTGGCTTGTCATCTTGGTTGATTTGCCAGAGCTGCCCCCAATCAGTGAGCCGTTGGGTCATACGTTCATCCGGTGGCAAGGTCCTGTAAGGTCTCTCCCATGCCAGTTCACTGCTGCGGAGACTGCGGAAGAGTCCTTTTAGGCCTTTGGTGTAGCCTTGGGTCAGCCAGGCTTTGTATTGGAGATGGCTCTCGTCGTTGGCCGCTTGTTGTGCCAATTGAAGTTGATGATCAATGGTGTGATGGACCAAGTCGGCAGCATGACTGTCTTTGTATTTGTGCCAGTGGTGACAGGTGTCGAGAAATTGGCCCCATGTCGGCGTGCCAACCCAGTGGTGCGGTGCATCAGCTGTTGCTTGCATGAAACCCTTGGTGGGTCCTCGGACCTGCTGGGGAGGCTGTTGGAGTGCAAGCCGGAACCTGGCCCGTAGTTGTTCCCAGTAGGCTGGTCTGCCTCGTTTCCACGTGGTGGTGGTGGTGATGGGTGCAAGAGGCTTGTGACTTGCCCGGAGGTTGGAACCTCTGCCTTGTGCAGCCCATGGATGTTCTTGTAATAGGTATTGTTCCGTGCAAGATATCCAGTCCGCCCATGCTTGGGCCGTATCATTGACTGGGTTGCCATACAGGTCCAGTTCATAGGCCGTGGATGTGTAGGTGGTCCAAGGTCGGAAGTCAATGTCCGGTGTGGCTGGGAGCGGCGGGAAGTACTGGATTTGCCTGTATTCTTTGGTGGCTGCTTCAATGTTGAAGTGGTACGAGATGAGTGCATGCGGCCTCCAAGGTACAGCCCAATCGGTAGTGATGGAGGTGGTGCCGGCCAACTGGTTATGGATCAAGGCATAGTCAATGACATTGCCGGACAAGAGGCTGGCATCTGGCGAGAGAACTTCGAAATGGAATTTGGAGGGCAATACCGTGCTGGTGATGCTGCCAGGGCTGTTTTGCCAATCCCCCAAGAGAACGAAGGGGTGGTTGGTAGCCTGAACAAGGGCTAGGAGTCGGGCGAGGATGGTGGCATTGGCATCACTTTGCAGTGTTTCACCCGTCTTCATGTAGGTGCCTGCCACAAGGATGGGGCAGTCAGTTGCCTGCCAAAGAAATGCTTGAAAGCCGCATCCTTGGTTCGTGTAGGATTCCAAAGGAGTGAGTCCACACGTAGGGTCAGCCAAAACCAGGATGCCACCATGCGTGCCTGTGTTGCTTTCATTGGGGTGTGCTGGCGTGCCAAAGGCTGTTCTGCCTCTGATGGTAAAATATTGGCAGGTCTGTTGATGCTGCTGTGGATCTAGATGCGTTTCAACCAGCACGTACACCTCGCTTTGTCTTGACCAGTACCAGTCCAGTACCTGTCTCCCAAAGTGTGTCACATTTGCAAAATGCAAATTGTTGTGCTGTTGCTCCACTCTGGCCTTCTTCTCCGGGCTGGGGTGTAGTGGAGGGTCGAAGTCCGGCTCTGCAGGTGGTGGTAGCGATCGGAGGACCTGTTGAGGAGTCCTGAAGGTGTCGATGTGCACAGCCCACACCTGTGTGACTTGGCTGGCTAGCTGTGGTGTCAAATGCTCCAAGTGCATTGGCGGTTTGCCATCGTCAGCTATCCACATCAAATCCCTATAGATGAGGATGGCGAAGTAGTGGCCGGTGTTGTGACTCTTCCCTTGATGGCAAATAAGTGCTGCGGGCACAAACTCCGTGGATGCTCTGGCGAAGCCGTCCAGGGATCTGGGGACGGTGAAACTGCCATAGGTATTCACCAGCTTGCAGTGTTTTGTGGGGGTGCCATTGATCGTAGTGTTTCTGGTGAGGTGGCTGACTAGTACCGGCTTGTCGTCCATCAGGTATTGCCCTAGTCCAATGTTCGCCCATCCGTTGAAGAGGTCTTGGAGATTGGTGACCTCTGGCCCATCATCTGGAAAAGGGACCAGGATGGGTTGCTGGATGTGGTCTTTGAGGTACCCTCCTGGCTGGATCTCCGCAAACCTGTAGTGGAAGGCTCTTGTTTGGGAGACATTCCAGAGCGTGTTGACAAAGTGGTTGGCATCCCCCTCAATGTTGAGGTCGTGCTGCTTCCACATCGGTCTCAGGCCTGGAAGCTGCTGAATGTCCACGGCTTCCGCCATCTCTAAAGACTCCTGGACCGCTTCTTTGAGATTGCCCCATGGCTGGGTGTTGGTTTCTTGGAGCAAGCCGCAGGTCCAGGCAAATGCTCTCCATGGGGCATTGGCATAGCATCTGCTGCTCGGATTGCCCACCGTCATCGTGAGGTTCTGAAGGATTACTTCCGTTGTTGTGGCATAGGCCGGTTCCATCTTGCCCTTGTGCTTGGCGGTGGTTTTCACCTGATTGCTGGGCTTTCGTCCTCCTTGGATGGAGATCACTGCTGGCCCCGGTGCACCCAGCTGCAACCCATGCGGCAGGTTCGGAGTAGGTGCTGCTACAAAATTGTCAGACCTGTGTTGATCTGTAGTATTGAGCTCCATGCTTGTAAGAGTGGTCTCCCCTTCACTCCTGATGGAGCCGTCCCCTAAAGTATGTATGTATGTATGTATGTATGCATGCATGTATGTATGTATGTATGTATGCGTACTGGATATACAACCGAGTATATGCAGAAGTCTTTGAGTTTCAGGTGTAGACACGCACTAAAATGAAACTAGACACGTACCTGGCCTATAGGGCCTATAGCCTTCCATTTCCGTGAGGATGGTCGCAGGAAAGCTCACACCACGCACCGAACAACCGAACCTTAACGTCGAGGTTTCACCTCAGCACCCAGCACGTCCAGGGGTGTCAACACGAAACGAATTCTCTTTGCCAGTGTCCTGGCGCAACGTGCGGAGTTGGAGAAAAGGTGACTTGCAGACCACCAAACCGAGGTTTGGACATGCCAAAAAAATGCTCTTTGCTGGAGGAACTCCCCACACAAGTTTGGAATGTCCCACCAGACTGAGAGTGGTCAAGTTCGGCATAGTTCTGTATATCAAATCACTGGTCTGGCCAGCACTGGCAATTCCCAAACCACTCAAAGCTCAAGTCTCCGGGCTAAAACCCAGCTCAATCATCAATGAACCAACTCGTGTGGTTGCTACAATTCTACATTGGACAAGCAAGCCTCATCTGCAGACTTCACAGTCGTGCATTCTGCCAACCTGCAACTGGTGAATCTCATGCATGCGCAATACAGGGGTGTGCCACCACCAAAAAATGAAAACAAGCAAATGCTCACAATTGGGCAGGGTCTTTTGTGTAAAACCACCCTTTTTGGACGCAGAAGTGGAGAAGTGGTGGTCAAGACAGGTGACCATTCTCGTGCTGAGGACCTTCACTCACCATGACCCACACCTCTCCCGGGACGCTACATTCAGATTTCGACGTGACCGCATAGCTGATCTTCAGAAATGGCATCAACGTAAAGGACTTCTCCCTTTAGACACCACTAAGCTTTCTCAAGAGTCAGTCATGGGGCTCCGGTGGTGGAGCCACGAAGCCAACGAAAGTGCCAACCAATCAAAGCTTTCAAATTGGGGTTGGGGTGACTCATGGTGACTTTAAGCCCAATGAAAAGCACCAAGCGAACTAAGTGTGGGAAACGCCCCTGGCCTGATGTGTTCGGTGGGGTTTCGGTACTCACCTGGCATCAAGACGCGGTGTGAAAAAGAAATGGAAAAAATCTGAATCTCAATGTTGTCGACCCTGCTGCACTGCTTAAGGAAGCGCTCTCACGCAGAGATCCGCACGACCCAGAATAATTCCATGATCCGGTGCTCTGTGACCCTGAGAAACGCACCCTGCGACTTGAAGCTGCATAAGTACTGCGGGGTCAGGACGAACCAACGCCTGCAGGCATGTCGCGACGAGTTTGGCTCGGGAAAGGGCCACTCCACCAATATGGGTGTGAATAAGGCAAGGAAGACCCCAGCAACTGGATGTTTGGATGTTGGGGGTGTGGCGGGGTGTATATATATATATATACATAATCCTCTTCCGGTGCTTGGAAGGCCCTCTATGCTAAAGCACACCCAGAGAGTTTGGGTCAAAACTGCAGGAGTTTGCTTCAACTTGGTGCACGATGCAAATGTCTGGGTCTACCGGGGGAGCGCATGAAGGCTCCACGTTCTGAGTCTATTCAATCCAATTCGACCCACTCAAAGTGCCGCAAATGTGGGAATTTCCAAGCTGCAAATCTTGCGATGACACAGTCTCCTCGCAGAGTTACACCCTGTTTGGGCCAACCAAGCACATCTTACGGAAGGTAAACCAAGCCCACTTGTGAAATGGATCGAAACATTTCCCACCACCGCCTCCTCCACTCTTTCATGTGCTTTGACCTTCCCGATTTGCTGCAAAAGTTAGCCAAGGATTGTCTGACTTGTTTGTTAGAGGTCTCGCAATGTATGAATGTCTGCCGGATCAGTCTCACAAGAGGATGAAAACTGTTCCGAAATGTGGAAACTGTTCCGAAATGTGCAAAAAAATATGGGAACTGAAAAACTCATTGAGAACACCGTTGTCTGTGCAAAGCAGTTTGTACACCAAGCATCCGCACTGCTTCACCAAGAAGCCTTCTTTGATGATGTCGTCCCGGTGGATGACAATTTCCTTGGATGGGAGCTCGCTTTCGAAAAGGAAATGACCTAATGCGATGTTTGTACCTCTCTCTCTCTCTCCCGTGCTGGAAGCAAGGAAAGTTGGAAGTTCGACAATGGATAACAAGTTGACAAGTTTTATCTCAAAAGGTTTGCGAAAAAATAGATTGATGGCCTTTCGATTGTTCTTTCCGCTGAAAATTGATATGGGAATGAATATATATATATATAACTATATATATAAATAAAAGCAAAACATATCAGTCCAGGTTCAGGACACACCACCACACGTGGTCGCTCCAATCAGACAACCTTCGGTCTCCAAGGGACTGCTGCTGCCATCTTGAGATCAATAAGCTTAAGAAACTAGACGAGACTGCTAGTCCACACCCTCGGGAGCCAAATGATCCGCACAGAAACAAATATCATCGTGGATGGCGATTGCCTAATGTTAGAATTTCTAATTGAAATTTGAACATGAAAGTTGCATGGTTACTTCCGCAAAAACGAAGTTGGCCAAGAGCTTGTTGCGTCGGATACTGTAACTCCCTTTGATTCAATTTGGCGTTAGAATGTGACCAATCAAGTCTTCTGAGGTGCTTGATGACAGCAGACGTATGCAAACCCAGCCGCGTGCAGGACATTGCAAACAGCGCACGCAAACCACAGTTTGCGACCACACATTCAAATGAAACTTTGCATGAGTGAAAAGCGGTGAGCATTGTTTTTTCCTTGACTGTTTCTGCACTTTGCTGCCATAAGGCACAAAGCTGAGGCTTGACGACCACATTGCACATCTGTTTCCAACATTCGATCTTCAAACATTGAAACCTGACAAAAACAGCTACGCGCTCTTTTCTCAAGAGCGGGCTCGGGCCACTGCGGGCCAGCTGCGACATGTTTGTCTGCTGAAAAGGTTTGACACCCCACCTAAAAAGCTGTATATGTTTGATACAGGCTTTTTCTTCAAACTTCACCTTCTAGGGCGTGCCGCGCAACTCTGTTGCGCCAGTCATCTTCCCACTGTCGTGACATGACTGCCACACAGAAGGCTGCAAAGCCTCGGCGGTACTCTTCGTTCCAACCGAGGGCGTGATCAAAGCGAATGAATGGGTACCATTCGCCAAACTTCGCTGTCAGCCGGGCTTGCACATACTCCGTCATCTGACTGCGGGAAAACAAACCCGTGCTCAGGAGTCGTCTGCATCGTCGTTCTTCATCTTCAGTCAGGTACCTGATGCAGTTCTCCAGCTTAGTCCAATCAAGGGCTTCTGGTGGCTCTTCTCTGTCGTAGTCCTGCCAAAGGTAGTCGTCATCAGGCAGGGTTGCGCCTTCTTCTTCAACTGGCACGTTCTCGTAGCCAAGGTCTTCTTCCACCACACATCCATAGGTTCCACTCCGGCCTCTTCATCTCTCTCTGAGTATGTCGGTCTGTAGTGCCTTCGATACCCGTGCGTCGGGCTCAACATGAAGAACTCTTCTCCACTCTCAGCTTCTTCTCCAATGGACTCCATTGGTCAAGATTCTGTATGGCCTCAACCATTGTAAGACTGGGTCCCAATCTGTCAGGTACTGCTCGACAGTTACATCATCTGCAGGCTCTTCTTCTTCTTGGTCTTCTTCTCTCGGCCTCCTTCTTGCTGAAGTCCGGGTCGCATTCGACCTTTCTTCTTCTTCATCGAAGCTGCCTTCTGGACCTTCTCGCTGTCTTCCAACTCGGGATGCTCCTCTTCGCCTTCTCAGTGGTGCAGGTAATGGTGGTGGAGGTTCACGAATCCACTCTCCACCAGTCGCTTCAACTGAAGCTCGTACTGCCTATTCACGAAGATCTAGTCCAGATCGATGGGGTTGTTGGTCATCTCCTCTGTGGAAGTCTTCGAACCAATCAGTTGTGATCCATCTCATCACCTTTCTTCGAAGCCAGAAAACCTTCTTCCACTTCACATAGCCAACATAGATTCCCACACCAAACACCACAATCGTGTACACTAGGAACATCAGGGTGTAGACCAACCAGCCAGACACCTTATAGTTCTGTCCCTCATACTCCTCAATCGTGTAGTTCTCCTCAGTCTCACCTTCAGGTAGTCCATATACTCCAGGCTGTAGCAGGAGTAAAGTGACCATCTTCACCATGGGCTTCGAGACTTTGATTTTCGTCTCGTTTTCATCATTCACCAAGGCACAAATCATCTCATTCTTTACTTCCTTCATTTTCTTTGCCAGATTCTTCTTGCGAATCTCCTCGTGGAAAGCTTCCTCTCCAACTCGACAAAAGACCTGTTCTGAGCCTTCGAACTTGATCTCCATGATGCCGATCAGGTACATCAGGAACTCGCGCCTTTGGCGTGACAATCTCTTTGTTCCAAGGTCTGCCATATTCCAGAGGGTTGGAACGCCTTCCATCTTCAAGTTCTTCTTTTTCACCTCCAACTGCATCCATAGATACCTTGTATCTATATGCTTTAGGCGACCAACTCCAAGTCTCTCTGTGAAAGTTCGACAAGATGAGCTATCCGTGATCGTCTTGATCTCTGCCAGCCTCTTCGTCAGGAATTGCCAGAGTTCTTGCAGCTGTAGTGCTTCAGCTGCTCCACCGGATGAAAGGGCTATGCTCTTTTGTGAGCGGGACCAAGCTGCCACCAGGCATCCATTGAGGAAGATCATCGTGCTGCTAACGCTGTGTCGTCGTCTCTTCTTTGATGATCTGTCACCAGCCCAATCACTGTCACTCCAACTTTCCAAAGCATCCACCTCCTCAAGGCTATCTGGCTGCAAGGGGATCTCAGCTTTCTTGCTCTTGTACTTCAAGTACGGCAGGAGAATGCCGTAGTGCTCTGTTCTCTTGAGGTAGAGGATCAAGTGCTTGAGTTCGCTTTCTGCACTTCTGGTTGGACTTGCCATGAACTGACTCAAATTTCGCACACAATGCTGAATGTCAACTCGATCCTGTGAAATGTACAGCAGTGTGCCAAGTGCAGAGCGAAATCTATGCTGATCCCCACCTGTCAAGATTTCCTCAGGCGGTCCCTCCAAGTCCATCTGAGTGCTCTCAGGAGTCGCCTTTCCAGCTCGCTGACATAGCTGGTAGAGCTCCACAAGGATGGGCACATACTTCTCGTGGGGAGCGATCACAATGCCTTCTCCTGTGAGAAGAAATGCCTCTTCTTTAGACATCGAACTGGTTCATCAGCTGCTTGATCTGACTGTGGGAGCACACATGACTCGCTGATCACAAACCTACTCCTCATCTGCTTCAGAAACCAATCCAACTCCGTTGGGATTCCAGCAACAATCAGGTCATCAACATGGCAAACCATGCCCAGATCTCTCTCCTTGTGCCTAAACAATGAAGGCAATGACAAGTGGTTCTCCATGCCGAGCTCTTCCAAGACTTCTTTCAAATGATCGAACCACCTGGATGCTGCATCACGCTGCCCAGGCAAACATCTCGCCAGTCGCCAATAGCGCTTTGCTCCATTCTGCAGCTCTCCCAACTTTTCAGGCTTCCACCGTGCGGGCTGTTCAACAAGCACCAACTTCGTCTGAGGTACTAGCAAAAAGGCATCCTTGACATCAATGAAGCTCAAACTCCATTTCATAATGACATGAGTTGCCAGCAAAAGTCGGGTTGCTGCTAGACTTGAAGTTGGAGCAAAAGTTTCAGCCGTCGTTTGGTCTTGGCCTCGAAATTCTCGTGCCACATACCTGCATCGCCGCTTCCAGCGACCATTCCTCACTCTCCAATCAAAAACAGATCTGGTTGTGAGGATGATGCCGTTCTCTATGTCCTCTACGCTAGGCTCTTCAAGGACACCCATGGCGAGAAGTCGTTGGATCTCCTCCTGACCTGCGGCTGCTTCAATCTTTTCGAGCTCCTCCGGCCCCACCTCCGGTGGACCCTTCATCAATCACTTCATCTGAAAAGAGCTCGTCCACCTCAAGCATCTCCTCTGTTCCTTCGAAGTCTGCAACCTCTTGTTCCCACTGGAACTCGTCCACTGGTCTGTTCTCAACTTGTTGAACTCCTCCAGCAAAATGAGGCGCATACAAAGATGCAGGGCTTGCTGAAGGACTTGTTCTTGATGCCTTTGGTCTGCTCTCTTCTATAGCGCTGTCATCAAGCATAGTCTCTTGAGACCTTTGTGGAAGAGGTAGATCAGGTGTTCTGGGTGCACTCTCACCAACATTGACATTCCCCGTGTCAAGACCGAGTGGCAACGGAGGTATACAAATGTACTTGTCTGCAGGCTGTTCTTCATGTTGACCTTCTGCTTCATGCTTTCGTCCACGCTGTTGACCCGTCAACTCTTGTTGTGGTGTCCCTGCAGGATGCTCCAAAGCATACCTTTCAACCTCCTCTGCATCTAGGTCTCTGCCTCCATACTCTCTTTCTCCTCTCTGCTCAGCCTCCTTCTCGGCCTCATCCAACTGATCCATTCTTTCGCCTTGCCTGGTCCTCGAACTGGTCTTGGAACCATAGGCGTAGATTGCAAGATCCTCATTGGTCGTCTCTGATGAGGGTTCCTGTAAGGCTTTGCTTTGACCATGAAGAGATATACTGACCTCCATGGTTCACTAGTTTTTCGAATTGCTTTCCCCCTCATCACTTGATCTCCTGAACCACCAAGCGCAGATCCTCCTCATTGGTCTTGCCAACCCAGATTCCTGGAAGCCACTGTGGTCCTTGCTTCACGCCAGGCTGTCTCTGAAGTAGCATGACGTACTCCCCAAAGCACACCACCTTGCCAGCATAACGTCGTCCTGTGGCTAGTTCAAAGGGAGTGGCCTTCAATGCTCTGTTTGCTGAAAAACGATTGATCAGCCAAGCTGCATGCAAGTAGACCCATGACCAGAGAGCATGACTGCCTTCAAGAGAGATTAGACACTTGTCCTCTGCCATCTTCATGAGACAAGAAGCTTGTTTGCGGAGGGTCTGGATTGTCCTCTCAACCTGACTTGTCTGGCCTTTCTTCTGACGAGTTGGTGATCGTGGTTTGCAACCCAAGGCTATGTCGAATCGTTTGGATGTAGGTCAAAAGCTTTCTCATCGTTGGCTCATTGTCCCCAATGACCTCTACATTCCCATACTGATTGAGCATCAGTGTGAATTTCACCACATGTTCAGCTGGTCCACGAAGATCAGCTCCTTTTCCATCCACTGGAACTGCCAACACCATGACAATGCGGGTTTCTGAGTCAATACCCACCAGAATGGTTGTGAGATCTGCTTTGCCGTTTCCTCCTGATCGACCATATGCATAGTCCAGCTGCACTGAGGAAATGTTCCTTCTGCCTTCTACTGAGTGGTTGAGTACCTTCTGGTTGTCGTCTCTGGCTTTCGTGGCAATGCAGAAATCGCACCAATCTCTGTATGGGAGATGGGTCAGTTCATGTAGCTCTC